GCATTGCTGCTGCTGCTGCTGCTGCTGCTAGCATTGCTGCTGCTGCTGCTGCTTGCATTGCTGCTGCTGCTGCTGCTGCTGCTTGCATTGCTGCTGCTGCTGCTGCTGCTGCTTGCATTGCTGCTGCTGCTGCTGCTGCTGCTGCTGCTGCTTGCATTGCTGCTGCTGCTGCTGCTGCTGCTGCTGCTTGCATTGCTGCTGCTGCTGCTGCTGCTGCTGCTGCTTGCGTTGCTGCTGCTGCTGCTGCTGCTGCTGCTGCTGCTTGCATTGCTGCTGCTGCTGCTGCTGCTGCTGCTTGCATTGCTGCTGCTGCTGCTGCTGCTGCTGCTTGCATTGTTGCTGCTGCTGCTGCTGCTTGCATTGCTGCTGCTGCTGCTGCTGCTTGCATTGCTGCTGCTGCTGCTGCTGCTGCTGCTTGCATTGCTGCTGCTGCTGCTGCTGCTGCTGCTGCTGCTGCTTGCATTGCTGCTGCTGCTGCTGCTGCTGCTGCTTGCATTGCTGCTGCTGCTGCTGCTGCTGCTGCTTGCATTGCTGCTGCTGTTGCTGCTTGCATTGCTGCTGTTGCGGCTGGCGTTGCTGCCGCTACTGCTGGCGACGCTGCCACTGCTAAGGCGTTGCTTGCGTGTGTGCTGGCTTCCTTTGCTTCTCTAGTCGGTCTTTTGAGCTGGTGATCTGCCTGCGTTTGCTGCTGCTGCTGCTGTTGCTGCTGCTGCTGCTGTTGCTGCTGCTGCTGCAGCAAAAGTGTGCGCACGTGTTCCAGAAGGATTTACCTTCTTCGTCTGAGTCGGTGGTGTCGATAGAGACAGTCAGCTCAGCTGAGTCTTCTGCTGCCAGCTCGGACCAGCAGCAGCAGCAGCAACAGCAGCAGCAGCAGCGGAGGAGCCACAGAGGCCGGCGGGGGGGAGGCTCGGCAGCAGTAAATGGAGAGGAAGCAACGCAGGGAATGGTAGGGGTAGGCAGGCCTGCAGGTTGCTGCTGCAGTTGCTGCTGCCGTTGCCGCTGCAGTTGCTGTAGGTGCTGCTGCTGTTGCTGCTGTTGTGCGGCAATAGGGTGCTTCTGTTTTTCAGTTGGCTGCAGCACTTTGCTGCCACCGCTGCATCACCTTGTGTTGCTGCTGCTGCTGCTGCTGCAGCAACTGGTGCGTCGCGTGCTGGAGTCTTGGGGCCGCACAGTATCGTCTTTGCGGCGCAGTAGCCGCATGGCGAGTTCCTCTCCTGCCGCTGCTGCTACTACAACAGCAGCAGCAGCAGCAGCAGCAGCAGGGGCTGGCGCCTCCGCCTCTGCACGACAAAGAAGAAATCCCCAAGACAGAGACAATGACAACCCCAGAAGCAGCAGACGCCGCAGCCGTTCAGAAAGGGTGGGGCCCCCAGGGGCCCCGGGGGCCCCCAGGGGCACCCCAGCAGCAGCAGCAGCAGCAGCAGCAGCCCACAGGCGGAGCGCAGAGGCTGAGGGGGACCTGCAGCATGGCAGGTACCATCGAGAGGATCGAGAGGGTGAGGAGCTGCTTCCGTTTTAGTTTTAGTTGTTGCTGCTACTGCTGTGTATTCTGCTGCTGCTGCTGCTGTTGCAGCTGCTGCTGCTGACGTCTCTCGCTGCTGCTGCTGCTGCTTGCGATCGCTGTTTCTTTCAGAATCTGAAGAGAGGCGGCCGCTGCCGGCTCCTGCAGAGGTGAGGCAGCGAAGCCACAGCACAGCAGCAGCAGAAGCAGCAGAAGCAGTAACAGCAGCAGCAGCAGCAGCAGATGCACAAGAGAAGACTCCTCCGGTGCTTCGATTTGCTGCTGCTTTTTTCGTCCATATACGCCTAAGACCTGCTGCTGCATATAAAAGTTATTAATGCAAATTATGCAAATCATAATTCAAATGGCATTTATTTGTTTTTTTAATATTTAGAATCAATTCAAGTGTACATACAGATCTGCCAAAGGCACTGTGCTGAGGTGTACGTACACCTGGCGCTGCAGAACAAAAGTGTGTGCTGCAGTGATTAAATTAATTCTGTTTTTTTCGGTGTTTCCCGTGCTGCTGCAGCAGCTGTTGGAGCAGCTGTTGCACTAGCTGCTGCAGCAAAACAAACGAGCCCTGGAGCTGTTGCTGCTGCTGCTGCAGGTTGCGCGCCGCACGGCTTCTTTCTTCCAGCGTCGAATCGGGGCTCTTTACGAGGCCCCGGGTCAGCAGGAGCAGCAGCAGCAGCAAAAGGCAGGACCAGCAGCAGCAGCAGCAGCAGCAGCATCGGGCAACTCTCGCAGGAGAGACATGACCCCTGTAGTGGTGCCCCTGGGCACTGTCAGCGGCATTGGCCTGGCAAGAGATCACAGGGGGGCCCCCAGGGGCGCCCCCGGGGGGCCCACCAGTCCTGCCAGGGGGGGCCCCTCGTTTCAGCTGCGGCCAAGTTATGCTGCAGACTTTCTGCTGTGTCCAGGCAGCAGCAGCAGCGCAGCAGCAGGAAGACCTGCTGCTGCAGCGAGGCAGGGAACCGCCTAGCTGCTTCACGCGCCGCACGCAGTGCTGCTGCGGCACAGAAGCAACTTTAGCAGTAGCTGCGGCACCAGCTTCAGCAGCAGCATTAGTGGCAACAGCAGCAGCAGCTGCTGCTGCAGCTGCTGCTGCTGCTCCTCGAATTCAGTTTTAAGGCACAGTGGAGACTGCTGTGAGTTCAGTCGTTTGCGGTTTGCAGACACCACGCGAGACACTCTTCACAAGTCTAGCTAGCTGGATTTCTAGCTAGCTAGCTAGCTAGCTAGCCTGCTAGTTGTCCAGCCAGTTAGTCAGCTAGCTAGCTAACTAGCTAGCAAGTTGGCCAGCTAGTCAGCTAGCTAGCTAGTTAGCCAACTGGCAATTTCGCTGGCTAGCTATTTGGCTAGTTGACCAGTTAACAAGCCAGCCAGATAGCTAGTTAGCTAGCTAGCTAGCTGACTGGTTAGCTAGCTAGCAAGCTAGCTAGCTAGGCAGCTAGCCAGCTCGCCAGCTAGTCAGTTAGCTAGCCGGCTAGCCAGCGAACAGGGAGTTTATTATTTTGGAATGGAATAACTGATCACTCTGTCGAGGATGCCGTGCCTTGTCTTTGCATGACTGCAGCGTCTTTTTGTTTTCACCAGCTGCGGCTGCGGAGCGCAATTAGTGACTTGTTAGGAGTGTGGCACAGCTGGCTGTGCAACGCGTTTGTTTTTGCAGGGAGTAGTTGCTGGTGCATGAAGACTTGGCGGCTGCGGCTCATATAATATCTGGACATCAAAGCGTTGTCGGCTTTGGCGCATTGCATTGGTTGCGCCCGTTGTTTGTTGAATAGTTAGGAGTATGACGTGCTATGTGTTTTGAGGCTGTCCGTAGATTTGCGCATTGTATTGCTATTCTGCTCATGCAAGTATGTCTTTCTGTCATTCCGCAGAGACCTGTTCTGGCTTTTTTAGAAAATCATAATCGAATCGCATTTGTGCAGGTTCTTTCTTAACAGCTGGCACACTGATGGTACTTCGCCATAGTTGCGAGCGTTGTGCCATTTGCCTTTCTCTTTGTCTAGCACATTGCAACGCGAAATTCTTTTGTGCTTTGACATGTTTTGCATGCGGGGTTCCTTAGGAGAAAATGGAATAGGCTGCGGTGTCACGGCGCATCTTGTATGCACAAGTGTGGTTCATTGCTTGCACTGCAAAGGCGCACCATGAGAGTGCAATTATATGGATTCGCATCCTGTCAAAAGCTGCGGTGTGCGCCCTGTGAAGGTAAATGTACAGGCTTGAAGCCATTTGGTCCGCGATTCTTTAACTCAGAAAGATTTAGGTGACGCCATTGTTAAGAGTCTGTTGAGGATGCCTTTTTGGCATTGTTGGACATGAGTGCTGGTTTTGCTAGGCGTTGCTGTTGTTTTGCTGCCGGTCTACAGCGCCTATGTTTTCTCTAACATTTTTTTTCTGTGCAATTCAGATTGAATCTCGTCGCCAGTCGTGATGTTGGACGTGATGACACGTTCGCGAGGGGCAGCATTGAACGCAACCAGTACGGAATGCAACGTTGAATATTAGTTTTGATGAGCAAAATGAAGTATTTTAGCGCCCATAGATCCTGCGTTCGAAGAAAGTTTCGCTCCAATGTGCACGAAAACTTCAGCTAGCCCGTCAAGATCGCATGCCGTGCACCGCGGCACTTGTCGTTTTGCGAAGGCGCTAACATACACTGTGCCACGGTTCTCCAATAGTCCACTGTGAGGCGAGCAGCTTTCCAGGGAGCAAGCATTTGTGTGTGAGTGTTTTACACCTGGCCATATGATGTTAAAGTGATATACTATATCTATATATATATTAGTATGCGGGAGGCATCGGCGAGTAACCTTTTCAAAAGCCGAGACGTCATGGTCAATCCTGATTCCACCTTACACCTTGTTTTAATGCTCATTTTAAGTTCACACATTTTGAAGATGCTACAAGTAAATTTTCAAGTTGCTTCTGGCACGCGGGTACCAAATTTGCTACCACTTGAAAATTGTATCGTGCCGAAATGTATAGTGGTGGCTGGAGGCTGGATTCCAGTGTCTGGAGTCGTAAGCGTTGCTTAAAGGCTAGACGTTCTTTTCTCACACGACTCAGGAACGATGCGCTACTTTTCTTTTTGCTGGTTCTTAGAATGCAATACGGTGGCGCCCCAGGCTCGAAGGCTTGTTGCTCCAGTTTGTGCACATCCTGTGCTTCAAGGAGGCAGAACATAAGAACCTAAGCCAGTGAAATATGCCGCATTGTTGCTGTGCAGCCTGTATGTGTGGATGCGGGCTTCTTTCACGCGAAATCAAGCGGGACAATGGGGCCGCAAGCACATCGACGTTTTTCATATCACGTTTTGCAATACGAATGCAGCGAAGTTGAAATGGTGAACTAGAAAGCACGCTGTTGAAGATGCAGTCACTCAGAATAGTCCTTGGAGGAATCGCTGTTGAGAGTTTGTCGAAGATATCTCTTTGGAATTCGTCGAGGTGCTACTGATACCTTGGAATTCTTCGGGATGCTACTGCTTTGTTTTTGCGGTAGATCTGTTGTATCAAGCAAGCCAGCGGCCTAATTGATGCATTTTTCATATCGGGTAGCGTTTTTGATAGATGTTCGTGAACACAGGGACGCTTTCTCGAGGCGCACAGTGCGTTCGTCTGACGCTGCGTGGCCTTTGTGTGCGCACTGCCTGGCACCCAGTGCAGAATGAAAGCTTGGATGCGTGCAGTAGGGTGCAGGGAACGTACACGGTTTATCTGTGATTTGAGATTGTTCCAACGTGGGCGAAGTTTGTAGTCAGACTGTCGAGGAGCTAATGCACGCATCGCAACATTCGTCTTTTCGTGATATTTCTTGGTGTAGTTGTGACATTATTATGGCACTCCTGGAGAACATGACTGGCAGTTAAAGTGGCACTAGAGTGTAGACAATAGCATGTTCAAAGGTATCAAACGTGGCCCATATAGTATCTGCCACTACCGTGGCGCAATTATTAAACAGTAACCTTAGTTGAGCGCAAAACTTTATGGGCAATCATGGTTGCAATATTCCTTGTTTGTTGCCAAACGTAGATTCACAAATTATGGCATTGTGTTAATGCAGTTGTGCCTAGCAGCTGTTTCCCGCTCGTTTCAGGTAAATTGCCATTTGAGATTCGTGGCTTGCTGGGACACAAACTACGCGTAGATTTCCTGTTCCTGGCCTCATGCGCGTTAGTAAAGCAGCTAGCCGGCGGCTTTTAGTCTAGCTGCACAAGTAACAAGGTGCTGGCAGTCGTGGCTGGTTCTCACAGTGCAATGCTTTAGCACTTCGGGCCCGCAACGACGTTGCGTCATTCCTGTGCACACTGCAAGAATGCATGATATATTGCCGCATCGAAGCGTGTGAGCTTTCTAGGAAGCTGTAAATTCTTCCTTTAAGATTGAGAAAGAATCACACAGCCCCATGAGGAAAAACATTTTCTAGCTTAACGGATGGATTCCGTGACGTCGCTATGCTGCCGGCAATTCAGTGGCTCAGAATGGTGTTGACAGATGTTGATGATTTGAGATGGCTGTGAATGCATTTTTGACTTTGCTCAACCTACATGACTTTTTCCCGGATATTTGCTACTGCTTTGGCTTTCCGGTACAGCCATGTGTTGTATTGGTGAATGTGGAGACTTGTTGGACCTGCAAAGTGTACTTGTCGAACCCTTTTCAGATGCCGCTTAGCGCGCATAACGAATATAAAGTTAGTAATGAGCATTAGCATTAACAAAGAAATGCTTTGCCGCTAATCGGGATTGACCGGCACTTTGGATGCTGTTTCTGCTGGTTTTTGAAGACGTATTCTCTATCGAATCTGCCAAAGATTAGCTGTGTATGGCAAAATGCCTTGTGTTTGAATGCGGCGGCGTGCGTTGCCGTGGGTACAACATGTACAGAGAGACTACAACAAGGCCTAGAGGTTTTCGCACTTTCGCCACTTCATGGTGGCATATGACAATTGAAGCAAATGTAGCAGCGCAGGAACCGGTATAATGTTAAAGCCCATACTCTGCTGCACAGGAAGGTGGCCAATCTTTTCTGAATTATGACCTGTTCGATGTAACGGTGCAAAGTTCTATTTGGCCGACATTTTGTTTGGGAGCTGCCAATGTTAATAAAACATTTACGAAGCATTTTAGCTACCGGTTTTATGAATGGTTGTCCTTCTCATGGCAAACGAAAAACAATGTCCAAGGTCTAAGGACACTGTTAATCTTCGGCAGTTACAGTGATACTGCCCTTGGTACAGCAGCAGGAAGGTGAACGCAAAGAATCACAGCACATGTCTGTGAAGTAAGCCCTCTGCTGGTGGCCATTAGTGTTAGTGAGTGTTGTTCAATTGCACGTTTGCTAGTGTGCTGCTTTCGTCTTGTCAATTTTGGATAGAAAATGCCTTGTACTTCTTCGATATATGGAGGCTGGTAACTTTGGCAGGGCAGTTTTTCTGTTGCGTGGGCAATGTCAATAGCTAGCGCTGCACAGAATGATTCTTAAGAGCTTTCCATGGTGCGCGGCGCCCGCCAACATATCATTTATCTGCCGCTCTTTGCATGAAAACATGCGTCAAGATGTAGTTCGCACACGGATAGCTGGCGTGGTTGCAGCTCTGCAGTGTATTAAAGGGTCAAAATCAGGTTGGGTAGCTACAAGAGAACAAAATCAAATCGGCGTTTTCTTTATCGACAGTCTGTGCTACGTTGCCTTCAATGCTCGAAAATAAGTACCGCAGCGGTTATTTATTCTTCCCTTTTTATGGCTTTTGAAATGACCCATTTCGTGCGTGTATGCATCACTGAGTGCCTTCTCTAGTGAAGCTTGCTGTGCCGAAAGTACAAAAAGGTTATGCGTCCGTAATTGCGTCATTACGCTGTTGCGTCCATGATTTATTCTCCAAACTCTACTAAGACACAAACGCGTGACGCTCGCGGGGCGCCACAGCTCCAGATGCTCCTACTGAGCTGTCACCAGCGTAAGGGAA